CCAGCCCCAGAACTAGACCTAAGGTTCCTGGGTGCCACGTCTGGTCTGACACCCCCGCCCCGCCCTGCCCTGCCCCAAGAAGCCGGCAGCCACAGAGGGCTCGGGGAGGGCTGAGAGGACCAGGACCCATGGGGCTCAGAGGAGGCATAGGGGGGACGCCCCACTAGCCAGGCTCGTGCCAGCTGCTCTCCAGCCCGCCCTGGGCTCCCCTGACATAAGTGCCTCGCATCTGCCCAGGGAGCTGCTGGACCTTCCTCTCACTGGGTCGGGGCCTGTGCGGGGAGCAGAACAGCCCTGCCCTGCTGCAGGATGTTATGCCGCTGACTTTTGCCCAGAGCCCTCACAGGCGGGGAGATGGCAGCAGCCCAGGGGGAGCTCTGGGCTCAGCACGGGACACCTGGGTTCTGCCCCTGGCTGTCACAGGCTGGCTGGGGGACCCCTTCCTCCACTGGGACCAGGAATGCAGGGCAGCCCCTCTGTCAGTGTGTCTGCAGTGGCCACGTGATGGGGCCGTGCCCCACGGTGGCTGAGTTACACCCAGGTGACCTCTGCAGGCTGTGGATGGTTGGGCTGATCCCAGCCCCATGCACAGGTGGGTGTAGGTTTCCAAGGAGTTTTCCTGCCCCTGGACTAGCCAGCACAGGGAGCGGGGCCACCCGTGACCCCCACGCCTGGGGGCCTGTCCCGTACACCTGGGCAGGGAGCCCCGATGCTGGGCCCTGCCCTCACACGTGAAGCCGTGTGCTGGGCAGAGCATGGCACATGTGTCCATGGGCACCTCCTGTGGGTGGGGCCTGCTGATGGCTCTCAGCACCCACGCTCAGCACTCTGCCGGACCAATTTAATCTCCCTAAAAGGGTTGTCGCCTTGCCACTTGCCCGGAAGGTGGAATAAATCGCGGTGCTGGCACAGGGCCAGGTGTGCCAGCCCAATCACGCAAATGTCTCCACCAGCCTCAAGGACACACTGCCCCCTCCCAGCCCCCCCGCACTGCTATCAGCTCATTCGCCCCCCAGGAGGCAGAGCCCTGGGGGGAGCAGCTGGCCTCAGGTGCCCAGGTCCCATCCCCAGAGCTGGCTGGAGCTGGGGCCAGGCCTATGGGGTCAGAGGCAGGTGGCTGCACTCTCTGTGGCCAAGGGGAAGGCAGTGCCTGGCAGCAGAGGTGAGCATGCGGCCTGTGGGGTTGCTGTAGTGCACCAACCACCTTTGGTGCATGCCACCAGCCTGGATGCGCTCTCTGCCCCACTGCATGGAGCAGGCGTGGGCTCATGACAGCGCATTGTGCACATGCCAGCTCCTTCCCTGTGAGCCCCCACTGCAACCAGGAGTGCCCTGCCCTGAGGAACACTCCTGCTGCCAGGCAAAGCTGTTCAGCCTTGGCCTCAGGCAGGTCTGGCAGTGGCCTGGCTGTGTGGGTCCCAGGTGCAGTGGTTATGCAGGACTCGAGCAGAGCTGCAGGCACTTGCTGTGGCAGTTGTGTCCTAATCCCCCCGGCCTGGGCCGGACAGTGCCTCTCATCTGGCCTCAGGTTGTGGAGCTGCTCGTAACTGCCCTGTTCACCAGGTCACCTTGCCCTCCTGGGGCCCGTCCCCCAGGACCTGGGCTGCTGCTGCCAGCCATCTCTTGGGTCAGGCCATGGGATGATGTCAGTGTGTCTCTTGGGGCACAGGAATCTCAGGATCCTGGGTGTGGCTGGAGGGGGCTTGGGCATTGCCTAGCCCCACTGCTGCCCAGAGACAGGCCACAATGCTCCTGACCCAGTGCAGGCAGTTGCCCACGCAACTTTGATCTGGCCCTGGCAAGGAGCCTGCAGAGCCCTGGGCAGCTGGTCTTGTTGGCCCGTGGCTCTGACATGAGGGAGGCCTGGCCCTCTGCATGCTGGGTGCCAGCAGGGCAGAGAAGCCCCTGCACCTGTCCCCGATCATGTGGGGCGGCTCTGCCAGCCACAGGGGCAAGTTCTGCAGGAGGCGGCTGCACTGCAGAAACTCTCCTGCCTCTGCAGAGCATCTGGCTCTCGGAAGCAGGCATCTGTGCCTGGGACCACACTGGCTTTGTGCTGTGGGCTGTGAAGGCTTCTGCTGGGAGGAAGGCATGCAGTGGGGCTTCCCTGCCAGGGGCTGTCCCTTCTGCCTCAGGTTGCTGGGCTGGCCTGGGGCAGGTCTGATGTGCAGGTGGCTGGTGGCACCGTCTCTTCCCTTCGTGGACAGCCCTGGCTGCATGGGAGCTGCCTGCCCCATGGGCTGCTTCTGCCATGGACATGCAGAGGGTGTGGATACCATGTAAGCCTTGGCCCCCTGCCCCCATCAGCTGCCGTGTCACCTGAGCCAGGCCTGGCTTACAGTGCAGCACTTTCTCCCTTGCAGTTTCCTGGGACCCTGGTGAAGGCACGGTAGAGCTGCTGGCTCTCCCTTGTCCTGCCTGAGCCCTGGGCTGTGGCACTTGTTCTGTGGCCACCCAGGTCCTGTCCTAGCCAATGTGGGCACAGAGCACTGCCAGTCTTGTGAGCTTGTAGCACCAGGTGCACCCAGAGCAGGGCTGTCCAAGACCCCTCGCTGTCACCCTAGGGGACTGGTCCCATCTTACCTGCTAGGTGCTGTGGGGCTGGTGGGCAGGGAGATGCCTGGATATGAGGGCTTGGGGGGAGCTAGTAGGTGGCAGCTAACCCAGGGGCTACAGCAGGGACCAGCAGAGCTGTGCCAGGCAATCACGGTGGGCACTGACCATGTGCCAGCACACTGCCAGTGTCCTCTAGTGACCTGGTCCAGCCTGCGCCCAGGGCAGGCATCTCAGTCCCTGCGTCCTGCAGCAGCAGGGCCAGCAGGCCAGGGAGGAGGTGTAGGGGTGCTTCAATATGTGTCTCGGGTGGGGAGGGGAGCGGAGCAGCCCATGGCTGTCACCATGACCTTGTGGCTATGCCAGTGCGAGCAGCCGTGGTGTTCCTGGTGAGGGCAATTTGCAAATGGACAGTGGATGATGATCTAATCGCGGCTGCGTGCACCGCAGACACCGTGGCCTACTTAAACTTGGGCTCTTTCCAGGCCCGAGGCCAGAATGAGAAGCAGCCACGGCTCTGCCAGGCGGTGCCCTGAGCCAAGTGGGCCCCACACACCTGGGCAGACCTCCCCCTGCCCCGGAAGCTGGGGAGTGTGACCTGCCCCCACCTGCTGTACCTGGGATGCCTACCCCAAGACAGCACCCAATGAAACAAGCCTTGGCGATCCCCATGCCCTGGCTGTGACCTGGGCACAGCCAGGAGGGCAGCAGGGGCATCCCTCCTTGTCCCACCAGCTGCCCACTGGGCACTGCAGCACTAGGAGTAGAGCCCCTGCAGCCCCAGGCTGCCTCGCATCCCTCGTTCACAGGCTGCAGCTTGGCCTGTTGCTCTTGGCAGCGGCTATGCTGGCTACTGTTCTGCCCCAAGTTGGGGTTGCCCCACGAAGCAGCCTGTGGCCATAGATGCCATGCTGAGATGGGCTGGCTCTGTGCATGGGGGCCAGGCCCACAGTTCTCCTGCCCCATGGGTGTAGCCCCCAACCTTCCCACTGCCACTGAGCCCATGCTTCAGCCCCCCCTCGCCCTGTGTCCATCGCACAGGGAAATCAATCAGGGCTAATGGCCGCGTCGCCTGGGCAATCCCTGTGCAGGGGGCGGGGGGGTTGGCACTGGCCCAAGTGTGAGCGAGCGGTGAAGTCACCGCGGCGCGGGACATCCATCTCCACGCAGGGGACGCGGGCGCCTCCTGGCACTGGCCCCGTGTGTCCGTCACGCCTGGCAGGCAGCCCCATCTGCCTGCATGCCCTTGCTATGAATGAGGCAGGCACGGCTGCAGCGTTCTCAATGAGTGTGGGATGCAGCCTGCTCACGGCCTCAGGAGCACTGCCATGGCCCGTGACAACCTGTGGCTGAGTGCCCCCACAGGCCTGCACATCCCCTTACCCCATGGGTGGTCATGCTGGGGAAGCCTCCTGCCTTCCCTGGCTAGTGCTGGCCATAGCCCGAGCAACTTCCATGGTAAGCAGCCCCTCACCCCCAATCCATTCCTCCTTCTCCACTTCCTGCAGCTGCCGCCTGTGTCCTGCATGGGAGGCTGGCACGGGCCCTGCCGTGCCTGCGCCCTTTGCTCTTGCTCCAGTGTCCAGCTCCCCAGAGCTTTGTTCCCTGCTTCCCATAGGATGAGGCTCCAGGGAGTGCCTTGGGCCTGCACTGCTCCCTCGGAAGCTGGGGGTGGGCAGTAGCCCATTCTGGTGCCTTGTTGGGCCCCTGCAGCCCAGACACCTGGGTTCCATTGCTGGCTCCTCCACATTGACTTGTGGCTGTTCCAGCTCCTGGTGCTCAGTTCCCCCCTCCCACCCTGGGCACAGGGCTGCTCCTCCTGTGAAAATGCTGGGGGGGGGGGGGGGGGGGGGG